AACTAACATCTCTCCACGTGATCCAATGCCGAGGGAACAACCTGGAAACAACTTCCAGTGCAGTGGCCCTCCATCGATTCAACCCCTCTGTTGGTAAATAAACTTGTATAGACAGTTGGACCAAACGATGAAGTTCGTAAAATGTCTTGTCCCCACATTTGACAGCCGTAACTAGCGAGAATCCCAATAGTTTTCCAATCGCCCGACGAAACACAATTGGATCATCCATCCCTTCCAAACCACATTGGCTCAATAGCTCTTCAGGTATGTTCTGACGATCGAAGAATGCGATTAGGCGCAGAAGATCCGCCCCTTGGGGCATCTGGTCTGTGATTCGGTCGAAGGTGATAAAGTTCGTAGCTAAGATGCTTTCGGTCATCTCAGCTTCTCGTTGGATGCCACTGAACGGCTGTGAAAGCAGTCGCTTTGCTTGTTCGTCACTTGCCCGGAAAATGGTCCAGTAAGTTGATGGGGGTGTCTGGGTTTCCGTCATGAAGGCTGCCGCTCCTATAATAGCCAGCGGGTTGTAATGTAGGGAGTCCAGGATCAATGCAATCGCCTCTTGTTCTTCATCTCTCGAACCATTCCAGTTCCAGTTACCCAAGCGTTTCAAAAACAATTCTTGACCTTCATCCTCCTCCATTCTTCCAACATCAATCCTATCGCAATCCTGCCATGATGCGACTTGGAGAGATCTGGTGGTGAATATTAGGGTACCCCTGGGGCCCTGAGGTACAAATTTGGAAATGCGACCACTATTGCCGATAAAGTCCTCCTCGTTGTCGGCATTGTCAATGACCAGTATCCAATCACCCTTATCTGGCCCTTCAAACCACCTCTTTACATTTAATAGGAATTCCTCTTCGTCCATCTCGACGCTGGCTAGGGGAATTCGAACATGCTGCGCAATGGCTCTGAAAGCCTCACTGAACTTTTGTACCCCACTTCCGTGCACCCAAAAAACATGACAATCGCTCTCTCTCGCCCGCTGATAAACGTATTCGAGGGCAATCTGGGTTTTTCTGGGCAATGTTAGTAAACACGCGGAATTCTGGTAGCAATGAGGTGCATACATACCCGGAACCGCCCAATCCGTGGAGTGCAATCCGGTTGTGGTTGCTACCCTCGGAAAGCCTCTTTACCTCCTTAATGAGATCTTTACGGCCGGTGAACTTGCTGTTTCTACCATATGGAATCATCCGATAAGGCCCGGATGCTTCTTCTAGTTGTGATACCGGTAGCACATTAGATTTTGGCCGGAAATCTCTCGGGAAGCCTGAAAATACCTCTATCCCCAGCCCCAAACACGCACCCTTGATATATCCCCCCATGATTGGTAACGTTGTTCAGGTTGACAATGTTCGAGTTGTTATTATTACTACCAAAAACATTATGATTCCCTGAATTCCCGCTAAAGTTTCCGGTGATATTGGTTTGCATTTTTCTGGAAAGATTATTGGATTAGTGCTCATCATTTTGAAATGGTAGAGGTTGGGGAGAAGGGGATCCCACCGATCCATCATGTACTGTGCTGCAGTGTTTAACTCACTGTAGGCCTGTTTTGGAAGGTCGGGTGAGAAAGTGATAAAGTGTCGCTAAGGTATCTGAAGCGGGAATAGTAGTCTATCGGTCGCCAATCGGGGTATGTATGATGGCTCAAAATTGATTCGAGAGACCTGAAATGAGTCAATAAGGGGAGGATATGGTAGAACGAGTAGTCGAGGGCCCAACCTTGGATATAGAGATGAATGATTCCGTGGTTTTGAGGGAGATGTGGGATGTAATCCAAGCTCGGGCTATGGGAATTCAGGGGAGTCCAAAGATTTAGCATACGGGTACAGAACAGGTATTAGAGCAACCGAGTCCGGAGGCAGTACGGTAACGCGGGATCCAAGAAGTCTTAGCAGCCTGGGTGGGGAAGACGGCAGACGACCACCTGAATGCTAAATTTAGTTCCCTGGTAGTTTGTGGAATGCCCTGGCGCTTGGGCTGACTTTGGTCGCGGCCAGGCAGTCATCAGTATTTGGTGCATGTCTGGTTACACCGCATGAGGCTGGAGACGATAGGTAGACAACTCCCAACTACATTCTCCAGGCTGACGTGCATTTTTGGAATAGCCATCAGCTGAACCTTTGGGAATACAAATTTGAGCCCACTAAATAATGCCGATACACGAACACTGTAGAGTTGCTTCGCCAATCGTTTGGAAAGAAGCCTCCGTCTCTTACGAGCTTCATTTCTAGACAAGAGGTTGCCCTATCCTCATGGCGAAACAAGCTCATAATACTGTCTTGAAAACTGGTCAGACATCTAGAATCCGAGTTGGCGCAGATGGCTAAGACTACGGAAGGAGGCACAAGGGGGGTGAATGCATCTATGGCATTCCAAGTGAAATATGGCAAGTAGTAGCGTCGGAGGTCGCACGAGGCTAGGATGATTACGAGTAAGATATGGGGATATGGGTAAATGGCAAGCGAATGGTGTGTGCCAACACTGATCATGCTAAGTTGTCTGTCCAATTGCACACAAGTTTCCACATGTCCGGAGCTTTCGGGTCCAAACAGAGAGGGAGTATGATACGTCGCTTTCCCTTTGCCTGCACAGCACGAGTACCCGTGTATGGTACTGTATTACTCGTACACGAAACCCAGTTAGCATGAAATCATGCCGCGGCCACTTGCTCCCTCCCAGAGTCCAACCGGGGAGAGGGGCACCATCCCATCACTCCAAAATTTCCCGCCTTACTGTACTGTACGGTACATGGGCCGATTTTTCGCATATCGGTATACCGCAGCAGTCCTTTCACATCGCGAGTATAGGTACAGAACCAGTAGTTCCAAAGTCTTCCACCAGCATGCACACATTACCGATGTCTCTACTCCACTATCAAGCCAGCCACCGAACTATAAACGTAAACACGAGGCTTCAAAGACTGCTGCACCCACCCATCCCCCTCACATGAGACAGATTCCATGGAGGTTGAGCTGAGACTTCTGAAAATGGTAATTCAAGGGGGATCCTATCGGTGAATTTGAATCCAACATGCCTATTCTCCCTAGGGAGCACCAGAATCTTAATTTTTTTTTCCGATATCCGGCCACCCCGGCGCTGAAGCCTTGCGACTTCTGAGTGTCTGGGCATCAAAGTGTCTGGATGATTATGAAATTCGCATGTCTAATGTTTTTCTCTTTTCTTTAAAAGGTGTTCTCCTGTGGAAAAATTCAAAACACAAGTCACAGCTCCTGCGATCATCTTTGATACACCCCACCTTTCACACTCTCTTGAGCAATGTTATATTGATTATATATGAAGTATTAGATAAAGGTAGAATAGAATATTTGCTGCAAGAATTCCTAATCCTTATAATTCTAGCAAGTCTGCTAAACTTGCTATGAAGTCATCTATAGTTGTCATATATTGTATTGTCAAGATAACTTCAAGTTACTAGTAGAGGAGAGCTGGAATCCCTCTCTCAATTCTTGTTGTACTGCTGGAATGGTAGCAGCTTTAATACAAGATCAAAACCTATATTCCTTCTCTGATATTATTTTTAAATATCTACAATTATTAGAAAAATACACTTGGCAATTAATATAGATTTTATAGTAGTATAATAGAATCTGCTTACTACTACTATTGCAACTAGCTTAATATTAGCTATTACTTATCTAAGCTATCACTTTGTAGTACTTTCCTATCCTGTTATAGTTTTACTCCATTATACCCATCCTTTATTATATTCCAACATCTATTTTACTAGATACAAACTAAGAAATAGAATATAAAATAAGTACTATAAAAAATAGTGAATAGGAAAAATAATGAAAAACACAGGTCTTATAAAGTAAGGTATATGAAATAGCAGAAGAAAATTGATATAGTATTATTTTATATTGAAATATATTCCTGTTAAATAAGTATTATAATAAGATACAAATATGTAGTAGTATTTTCAAATTGTACCTAAATTTAAAAATACTAGGTTGCAATATTTATAAAAGAGTTCACTTCTTTGGAACTTAAATATAGTAGTGAATATTAATAAGTGGTAAGGCTTTAGCTGTAAAAGGTTCCAGAATTTAAGTATATCTGATTTAGATTCAAATTTTGAAAACTATAGATATTGATAAGATAGAGCCATTGTAGCCAAAACTTACCAAATCATAGAAACAATAGGTACAAATCAATTAACTAAAGTGATTAAGGCAATAAAGAGCATCGGCTCAGAGGGCGGCAGAAGTACAAAATTGTCCAATATATCCAATACTAGTACTCGAGTTCAAATTAGTAGAATTATTTTAGAGATCTGAAACTGATTAGACCATAATATATTATTATATATTTATTCCCTCTACTTTGGTAATGTCTAATCGGATATAATATCAATAGCAACGGTATTCCTAATCCAAAATCCAGTATCATCACATATGATAATATCATCCCCCTTCTGCTCTATGAGTAAGATACTAAGCGGCACACACGGATGACTTCTCGTTTTCTAATAACCTTTCCACCCATCATTGCACCCAGCCGCCCTCCCGGGGCGGGCCTCCATCTCGTGCAAGAAAGCGCAGAAGCCCTGGTAATGGCCGGTGGAAAAACAAGCGCGAAGGGAATCATTCATGCAAAACACCCGGAGGAAACAACACTTTCCTGAGCGAAGACCTACAGAAGCAAGTGCAGACGCTAGAGATTGTGAGTGCGGCCTTTCTCATATGTAAATTTAGTAATGTGCCTATATGGGTGTATGTACAGTACAGTACACCGTACAGTTCACCGGTGAAGTGTTATGGTAACCTAGATCCCGCTTTCTGGAATTATCCATGGTCCGCGGTACTCCCATTCCCACCACGCCTGCTATTTTCCACTGCACTCTATCCCAGGGCGCCCCTACCGCACCGGGTCAATTCGGCAATCGCTCCCCTACTGCACATCCCCGAAATATATCCTGTGGGTACCGCGCTCGATTGGCACAGCGTATGTTGAAAAGTGAAGGCTCTACTCGTCCCTGTAATGAATCTAGGTATTATACTATGCGCACCCTGGGGGGGGCCATGCCACCGTACGAGCACCGTGCTCGTTTAGGACAGCTAAGCTATGATATCCCGGCCCGGTCTAAGCTCCGGGCGTTGAACTGCGCCACCGTATCTCAGGAAAAGCCTCCTTCCTCCCATCACCTCAGTGGCCCCACACATCCACTATCTGATACCAACTTCCCCGGCCTTAACAAAGCTCCGATAGATTCCTACGATCATCTACGAGTACCGTATCCCTCCAATGTGCGTTTCTAGTTTGGTATTGAGCCGCCCGATTAGTGGGTGTCCAACTCCCGGATTTCCTACGTCACCCCCCCGGAAACGTTAGCGGGCCATTATTGATTGCACTTCAAGTTCCGTGCAGTACCTTCCATTTTGGGAGCCTTCATCGTTTCGCTAATCCTACCTGATACCCTCTCCACAGACCTACCACCGCCTACTCGTTACCTTTGAAGCGAAGTATTATATATGAATCCCACGATGGCCGAGACGGTCTTGTGCCCGGCGATGTTTTGAATTGTAACATTTTCTTCTCAATCTGTAAGGATACCAGCTTTGGATTAGGGAAAGGGTGAAACTAGGGACTAAATAGCGGTAAATACAGGCCTGACCTACCCCCCCTCCGGTGCTTTTGCATGTGCTGACGAATAAATAAATGAACGGGAACCACCCGGGACGGGTGCAAAGTCCACAGGAGATCGGAGTATCCTAACTTCTCCCAGTGTCCCCGTGACTCTACGCACCCCGCCTAAGCCTATTGGTAGCAATCGCAAAGAAAAAAGTAGAAATAAATTAAAGCCTCCTTGCACACCCTTTCCCTATCCTACGCAAAACCATCCACCACCGTAATCCGTCACGGTATATCACTCGTTACAAGTATGAACCCCCGAAGAGGACGTTATTTAACACGACATTATCCGTAAATCCAGATATGCTCGCATAGAACGAAAACTTGCCCTTACTCTCGCTTGCTTGCTGGGAGCACGCATCCACTGCCCACCAAGAAGGCTGCACCTTTGGAAAAGACCGGCGCAACGCTAGCAGAGAGAAGAGGCCTGGTTTACGTTGGAAACACCCGAACACTGCTAGTAGCAAAGCACTATGATGCAGTGGGCAAATGACTGCGGTACTGGAGGAAGCGCCGCGCCTTTAGATCTTGAGTGAGGCCTTGCTTTTGTTACAGGTACTGTTTCCCATTGCATTCGAAGGTTTCCCCCATTCAGTTGCGCTCGGCTAAATTTCACTGGTGGGCATAGCTTTACGACGGGGGGGGTGAACATCGTACAGTGCTATCGAAACCGCGGGCATTGTGCCGGTTTCCCAAGCGGTTTCTTGGCGTGCGTGGACACAAGTTATATAGAATGGTCACTCGAAATTTGGGAATTCCCAATAGAATAAGTGCCAAATGACTTCATCGAGTTTGCGGAATGAAATACCATACTTCTAGCGAATTATAGGAGTTCCAAGATCTCCCACGCACTAGTATCACGCAATGTATAAGAATACGGACGTGGGTACGGCCGGGGGGGTACAGTGGGAGAGGGATAGCTTGGTTCCTGATGGCATTATGAGCATACAGGAGTGAGTTATCTTCTACCGGCTGCGAATTGAGGAAAAGGAGAAAGAAGAGTCCAAAGGGAGAGGGTGAGGTGTAGTCTCTGGCTCCGTAAGGAGCATACCTCCCATCCTCCCTTCCTCCTCTTTGGTCCACCGCATGCAGCATCAGAAGACAAGAGAGGAAAGAAGCACGCTATGCATAGTTAATCGTGCGAACTGGGAAAATCGCGGCAGCCATGTAGCTTAGTCCCCAATACCATTATTTTTTGTATATTTAGTACGAGTATTTCAATGATTTTTTGTTTGAATATCAGTTTTTTGTTTCTGTTTGCAAAGCATCAAGGTGCAAGTGAACTCCCATTTGTCCCTTTTTGCCTGCCCATATGTCTCCCTGCCCATATACACCCGCACAAACGACGATGACCAAAGTATAAGAATTGGAACATGTAGAGAAAAAAAGGGGTTTTAAAGGGGCCGAGCTAGTTAAAAAAAACCAGTAGGAAAAGGAGGACTGAGAGAGAATCTAAAACTTCATGAGATGCGGTCTGTCGCCTTTGCTCAAGGAGAAGGTCGAGCTAATGTAAGCCGAAAGGTGGGGGGTTTGTTTGATGACCCTTGTAATTGCTGCGTCGATCTCCTTTTGGTCGGCTTTGCAGACCTCGGGGACGGGCTTCTTCTGTTGATACCGGAAGCAACCGAGTTAGTTATCCCGTCCAGCCTAGAGGGGGGGATGTTTTACCTCAGGCTTCTTTCCCCCCTCAAAGAATTTCTCCTCCTTGGACTTCTTGGCCTCCTTGTCCTTGACAAAGTACTTCTCGTCAAACTTGCTCAAGTCGATGCCGGAAATGTCAACGATAGTAGAGGTTGCAATAACGTAGCGGGAGTTTACGCGGCGGAGGGGAACACCATTGAGCTTGAAGGGGCCAGTAATGAGGATGACACCGCCAGAGAGGGGCTTCAGGTAGACGACGCGCTTCCCACGGAATCGGCCGGCGAGGATGATGAGGACTGCGCCGGGCTTGAGGGAGGGGCGGAGAGTGGTAGGCTTCTGAGTTTTGCGAACCTGCCAAACATGTTAACTATTGTCCTTGGGCTCTTACATTTTGACACTAGAAACTTCAAGTCTAGAAGCTCCCTCCCTCCTTCTTGACCCCGTTGATGCATAATTTCATCCAGAATTGGCCAGAGAAAAGAGATCCAAAATTTTCCTCCGCTCTCTTTTTCTACCAATCTGCCATTTCCCTCAATTCCCCCGTAGCCATTCCCAACCTTCCGGCGCCAAATAAACCGAAAGATTTAAAGAAATAACCAACCTTCTTGTTGACTGGTTCGTCCTCGGCGGGATACCACTTGCTCGCCTTCTGGGCGGGAATCTCCCTCTTCCCGGAACCGAACGTGACCTGCTTGTTCTCTGCCGACATGGCTGAATTATCGATGGGCGGTTATTGGGGGAACTTGTCGTCGGTGGGGCTGCCGTCGCTTGGTGTTGTAGTTGGGTGGGCTCGAGTTCACTTTGGAGGAATTCCGTGTGTGCGTATTTCTTTGGCTGGTCATCTGTGCGATTTGTGCGAGCATTAGATTAGGGCTTAACGTGACGGTGATCCTGATTGTTAGGATCTGATTAGATTACATCAGCCGAGGCGTGGATTAGATTGATCTTGTTTTATTCTAGCACAGATAGGAACCTGGATTCCTGCGGTGGCTTGGCGGAGGGCAGCTTAGAACTCTGCCTGGAGGGCAACGGAGCTTAGGCTCTCCGATACCCTTGAACCGCCATCCTGGCTTTCATCATCATCATTACTACTCTTGTTTTCCCCACCTCCATTTCTGACGACTCTACAATACCATAACATCCACCATGGCTGCAGTAGCACCCGTCATATCTATTAAAGCTGGGAAGTGTGCTCAGAATGTTTGCCTCCCATCTCCTCTACTACCGGTAGCACTTAACTTATCGTGCCTTGCTGCATAGGGTACAAACATTGTTTCGCAAGCTGAGCCTGGCCTGTTATATCTCTACCACAATCCTGAAGACGGTATTTATTTATTTTCCGGCCCCTCTCACGCCTCAATATTATTTCTAACCGTTGCTCGATAAACCAGACCTTTTGCACTTTTGCTGGAAGCCTCGTGGCGCCGTTGAGCCAACTGCCGAGGACGATCTCATAATTATCCCCGGGGATGCAAGAATTATCAAGTATACTGGCTGCACAACTGGGCGTGTTATGGTCCTCAAGTTCTCGTCCTCTTCCCAACGCCACTTCTTCTGGTTACAGTCCAAGGCCGAGTCGAGTGAGCCTGGGCACTGGTCTGCGAGAGATGATGGATGGATTCACCGAATCAATGTTGCTCTCCAGGGCCCTCAGGACGATGACGAGGAGATGGGGGATATTGGCCTTGGCAGCGAGGAGGTTGAGGAGGAGGGGAGTGCCAGCAGGAGAGGTGGTGCTGACGGGGGCAGGGCGTAGGTGTTCCTTGGTTTTCCCTATCTTACAACATATTCTTTTCTATTCCCTCACATTGTTCCCCCTTTTAAGTTTGCACTGTCTGTTTGGGAGGAAGGCTTCGTGGTAACAAAATTTGAATTGTGAATTAATGTCCGAATATACGAATCGTGGCTTGCACATTTGCGAACGCCTTAACTTTATCACTCCAGTGCTTTTTGCAATAGTAACCTGTGGGACTATTCAGCTGACTGGGCGCTTAAGTCCTACTTCCCAATCTCAGAACCAAAGCGATTTCCTCCAAAATCTCATTTCCCAGATACAACTCCCTGGGGCGGCGGGCGGTGGTGGCAGTGGCAGTGGATACCAGCAACAGGATCCAATGATCTCCCTTCACGACCTTCTCCCTTCGGCAGTTACCACATCGCTACTAGCGGTCATGACCCCTGGAGCCGTTGATGACCTAATCTCGAACCTTCCACAGGGAATTGTCCCACGCAATGCTACCCCTACCCAGAAAAAGGAGGTTATCCGTAAAGTCCTGCACAGTCCACAATTTAGCCAGAGCCTTGTTGGCTTATCTGTTGCTTTAAGAGACGGTGGGCTGAGGGGCATTTCGGACAGCCTGGGAGTCAGACTAGCCCCTGGAGAAGAGGGTACTGGACGTGATCAGGTCGCTATCTTCGTTGAGGCAGTCAAGAAGGAGGAAGAAAAGAAGGAAGACAATAATATGGATATCGATTAGATGGATACCAGACCTGTACTATAGTAGCCATTAGCCATTCGGCTAGGATAAAAGGCAACTTGGCTCTTTTTATTGCCCACAGCAGCTGCCTCCGATCGAGCTCCACAATAGTGAGCCTAGCAGGGGATGCAGATTTATGAATATGTTCTTTTTAAGACGTTGAAGCATAATTCATCACTCGGGACCCTGGTTCTGCAACAGGTTGCTGTTGAAGTTGCGTGTCTTTAACCACTTGACCCCCAAATGAAGAACCCTTAGTCTACAAATAGAGAATTCGGCGAAAACAGTTGGTGGTCAAAGCCTTCATCAAAAAACCAGTGGTGTTCCGTGCGCTTTACTGACGGCTGCTGCTGCCCCAAACCCTATTTTCAAAATGACAATAGGGTTCTATGCAACCTATCGCTTTACGAGTATATTTCCTGGTTAGTGATGCTACTGTATGTTTGCGGACTTTGAGAGTTGCGGTAACCCATATCTAATATCAGTTCTCATGTGCCGTCGTTCGTTAAAGGCATCGAACGTCTTTCCTGGCTCAACTGGTTGGATAATATTGAACCAATTGAGATGAAGCAAATTACCTGCAAGAAACAGATATATACCTGGGAATTGTACCCCGCGTAATTCCTGATAGGTTTTATCTTACCTGGTCACCGCCTATATCGCTTGCTAAGCTAGCTGTTGAAGACCTAATGGGTAGCTATGATCTCCGAGAAGGGTTTTCGAATGGGCCACTATTGAGTTGCTACCGTATTTAATAAGTGACGTACGAGTACAGTAGATAATGTGGTACCAACTATCTTGCCAATTTTTTTCCCCCGGCCAAAAGATAGTCTAGAGGAAGTTCATTTCGAAGGCCCCATCTTGACTGAGGAAGTGTCCCTTTGAGCCTCTTTTATATCATACCGTCTTCACCGCTAACTCAACTTGGGACTAGTATTTTAGGACGGAACTAACGCCCTTATGGCCACTACATAGACTATAGGAATAATGGGGCAATGAAATCCCAAGTTGCAAACAGGGTTTCGCTATTTCAGGGAACCTAGTGTTCACCGCTATCGGATACCCTGAATAACATTTAAGATATCCCATGGCTACATCTAGCTTCAATGGCTTGTGTTATCATCCTGCCATGTGTTGGTAGATATTGGTAGACTGGTACGGGACTTGTATACTATAGCAGCCGAGCGATTGACAATGAGAGCACCAGATGAATCACCTGAACTGTAGTTTACCGTATCATACTCAATGCCCAAGTTTGGAACCATATTTCGCCCAGAATATTTTTAAGGGCTACAATATAAGAAATTGGGGTATGAATGCCTCACTACGGTACTCGCGCCGCCGGATTGCTGATGCGTTTCCCAATATGGGTAAGCTGGTGGCAAAGGGGTTCAGGAAATGGTTATGTAAGTATTCAGAGAAAATGTCGGAAGTACCATATTGACATATACTCTATTCTGTGATCATGATATTACATGCACTTATGCCTTACCCAGTCCAACCTTGAACAAATTAAAATAAATAATCTATCCATTAAAGTTGTTACCTCCCCCATGCAGTATACATCATTCCAGCTTTTCATAAAAAGAACTGCAACGTCTATCAATCAATTCTTGTGGATATTCCAACCAGGTCCGTTCCAGAACAGCTTTTGCATCCTCGTGTTAAGAATCCTACTGAGTAGGACCGAGCGACAGGTAACGATACTTCTCTTGATGTAAGTAGATAGTTCCCAGGCCTGTGCCTACGCGATCTCGAGAGTCCAGTCCTACGACTACTATCTTATGCGCGCCTATTTCTTTAATCTTCGTAGTCCTCAATTAGGACTTAGTCGTTCGACGTGGGAGGAGAAATAGTTTTCTCGCTTGAGAGGCAAGACAATTCTTGGGTTTCTTAAGAATAAATCTTAAAGAGCGTAAAAGTAGATTTGTATTGATAATAACTTAAAGGTAGGAAATAAACAAGAAGAACGTGTGAAGAGCTAATACTAGGGGTCCTAGTGACCCTTTATATAGTAGCTCTTCACCTGGCGTGACTCATACTTATGTGTCATGCGACCCTTGTGACTTATAACTATGAGTCACACGAAATCCATCAGCCGACTCTTATGACTCGCTGCGCAACATGCCTAAACCTAATCAAAACCTTAATAACTATTTCAGGTGCGCAACTCGCGTCACCTGAGTGAAACCCATGACTCATAACTTGAGTCATGTGCGAAAATCATAACATCGTGTGACTCACAAGTGTGAGTCACCAACAGGTAAACATAATAACCTATGGCACACTAGTGTGCGTCATGTGAAATCCCCACATACCTATAGCTTGGAAATCCGAGCTATGTAAAATCTGCCTTGCTTAGTCACAGTTTGTGACACCTCGATTGTTGCTTGACTGACACCCGTAAACTGAAATGTTGCAATTTCATCCTTGTGGTCACTCCAAACTGGCTCGATCTGATTCAAGTCTGGTGATTTTGGTGGCCAATCAAAGGTAATGATTCCTCTCTTTTGTCGTGTTTCCTTATCAATCTTTGATGCTGTTTGGTGCGCTGGAGCATTGTTCTCAACTAAATAGGTAACCGGCATACCTGTAGTTGCTTGGAGCTGATCGATCCATGGGTATAAGAGGGGTTCCAAAATGCGATCCCGATAGGATACCCAGTTAATCCCACCCTTGCTGTGAAAATTCAAGCGGTCGTGCTTAAAGACATGTTGGGCATGTCGGCGGCGGCGTTTATGACGTCCTATTCGGCCTTCTTCTTGATTTTGTCGATCGATATTGGCATTAACTTCCTTCAGAGCAGTATACTGCCAGGTACCTTCAATACCAGCCAGAGTCTCATTTTCCTCCTGCTGACTGTATCGTATATCATTTTCATGATCCACAATTGCTCTGTACCGCCTCTTCTCATCCTCTGTATCCTTCTCCCATATATTATAAGGTCCGCGCTGACCTAAACATACTGCTCCCCAAAACATAACTCAAATCGTGCGATCGCCTTTTTTATGGAGTGCCCATTCATTTGGATCAGCACCCAAAGGCCTTGTGATGTTCTGCTGCCGCCGGACTGAATTAAACTCAATCCACATCTCATCAGTAAAGATGATATGATTGATCGCAATATGAAGTGCTATATGACAAAAGGCAAGCCGGTCTTCAATATGCTTGGGGGATAAGAAGGGCTTATGAGTGGCCTTCCATCGAAAGAGACCATGCTGGTCATGAAAAATGTGTTCTAAGGTAGACCGTGCTGCATGAATTCCCAGCTCCTTAGCTACATCTTCATAGGGCATTTGCCAATGATCTTCATCTTTTTGAGACAGATCACGCAAAGCCATAGACTCTGCACTCTCTTCACCAAATTTCAATGATCGTCCTCCTCCATGCTCATCTTCCAAACATGCTAACACATCCTCAAACTCTCCAGCATTTGAAGCTCGTATCTATTAGTATTTTATTTCCCTGTCAGTAAAATAATTTGCCTTAAAGTTATAGTATTTATTGACTTGTTCGGATGTCCATACCTTTGCCCTCTTGACAATCTCACTAGCTGTCTGTTCCTTTACCTCAACTTTTGCTTCAATTTGCTTGAACATTAAGCCTCCATGCCAGTGGAGGCCAAGAATAACGGCTCGCATGAGAACAGGGATCCTCGAGGCTGATCCAGGTCCTGTAACTCCAGGAGGCATGTTGGAGTACTGGGAACTGCGTGGTTTGCAATCCGGAGTCAGATTCTAGCGATTTGATTGACTTGCCAGTGGGATTAACTTGAAACCTGTTTGTCCCACATCCAGAGTCTTTTCGCAAAGTCTCTACTATCAGTCAGACTTGAGTACGATCAAGTATATTGTTTGATAACTTACTATAATTTTTCTAAGTTTCCCAAAAGGTATTTGGCAAATTACAGCATCATGAACTCTTGTTGATATCATATAACCTCATATATCGGTATTCCTAGATCCGGTACTTCGGCAATTTAGTGTAAATGCTTATATCATCACTCCTATCACATCATTGCCACCAACTTACCCGTATTGGGAAATGCATCAGCAATCCGGCGGCGCGAGTATTCTTTCTGGTCAAATGTCCGTAAATTGGTATGATACCGCCATTGCCAAGACTCCTCGGCCCCGGGGATCTTCTTGAGCCTCTCAACAACATAATGATAATATCATACCGGTATCATATCAGTTAACTTAGACCGCCACCCCAACTCAACCCTCCGCCAACAGCCCTACAATACAAAGCGCCACTTCGCAAAGATGACGACCCCGAAAATGGCCGGCACGACGCCAAACATGGGCGGCGCAATGTCCTTCTCCCCAGCTCTTCTTGGCCAATCCCCATCTCACCTGCTAAGCCTTAAGCACCGACCATCAGCCTTCAACTCACCGGATATGGCTGGCCTGGGTGGGGTGCCGCAGATATCGGTGCCCGGGGACGAGAGCAAAAAGAAGGAATTGGGCGATATCTTGAAGCTACTAGCTACGCGACCGGGGAGGATATCGGAGGAGGGGGTGGAGAGACTTTTGAAACGCATGGGGTATCATCGCCCTGACACTATCCTGGGTCGGCGTAGCTAATAATCATAGTTTGGACCGCATTAAAGAAGATGTGAATGGAGTTGTTAAAATGTCACTGGCGGCTAAGATCTTCCTACTTGACGTATACCCACGCTATCACAGTTGGCGGGCGAGTGGGACAGCTGACGAGAACAGATTGATTTCGAGGACAACAAAATTCCGCGCGTAGAACTTGCATTCGAGAATACTCCAGGCCCATCGCAAGAGCTAGCTCCCCTAGCCGCATCTATTCTCCATGCTAACCTATCACACCCGGGTATGCGCGCCCCACTGATAAATCCGTCACTGGCCGATTTCGCAGATAACCTGGAGCGCCTGACCAGAGCCGATCGATTAAGCCACCCGCCAAGCTTGAATTGTTTCACGGCTATCACTGGCCTATACCGATCGCTCGAGAGGATATATAACCATGAGAAGGAGTCGCTTGAAGGGGGGAGCATTGGCGCAATGTGTAAAGGGAATGGGAGACCCCAGATGCATGTCCGGAAGAAGGTGGGGCTCAGCATCGATTACTGGCGGGAGAAGCGCATCCACAGAGGAAATGAAGGTGAAGAGGATGACAACGAAGAGATATGGAGGGTCTTGGTTGAAGTTGAGGAAATGCCCCCGGACTTTACCAATATGAATCCTATCTCACCTGTCAGGACTTCGGATCATTGGGTCTCCGATGAAATAAAGAAGTCCATGTACTTACCCAACTCTATTTGTTTCATACCCCACAGCTGACCTTTCTAGCGATGACAACTTATTCGGCGAGAGCGAGGACATGGTTACGGACTGGCTGGAACCGCCATTAGATGGAATTCTCGATATGACCGACGCCAACACTCGACCACCCTCAGCACGTTTTATCGCTCGCCTGGATCCACCAGTAGTAGTCCCCTTCCAAGATGAAATGCAACTCTTCGCCGGGTTAATGCTCTCTCCACCTCTAAGCCCCAGTGTCAACCCCCTACAGGCAGAGCTGTTCCCGGATGCTCCTTCTGCCTCAGGTGTTCAACGAAGACTCTATATTCCCAACTATGACCCAGAGGAGGAGGAAGGCGTCCGTCACGAATATAAACTACACAGCCTAAAGCCAACCCTCGCACGCCCAATCCTCGAAGTTCCCTTCTCACACCCAAAAGAGCTCGCCGGCATATTCTCTATCCTAAGGCAATTCGCGCACGTTGGTGCCTTACTCAAAAGCTGCTTTAGTCCCGTCGCTGGGATGATCCCGAAAACGGAGGATTCGGCGGTGCCGTCGGAAGGTGAAGAGTTGGATCTAGATGCGTTCTTGGCTGACGGTGATGACATTGTTGATGGAGATGCCCGGCCAGTTCCAGTGGATATAAGCGTTACGGAAGGGCAGAGCGGTGCATTGACCCTAGGGGTTATATTCCCGCAGAAGACCGGGCGGGGTGTGGTTGGGTGCAACTTTGAAGTGGGCAGGAATGCCGATGTTCGTGTGACGGAATTGAGCGCCGATGATGGGAGGTTGGGCCTTGATGCTAACGGTCTGGAATGGGCACTTGCTATTGGGAGCGATTTGGGGATTATAGTGGAGTGGCTCAGACGGAAAAGTTGATCCTGTATTCCCGCTTACCTTCTTTCTTCCCTGCTCAATACCGGTATGCCTGCTACTCACGTGTGCCCCCCCATCACTTTCACGGATTGGCGTTCTTCTTGGGTACAATTTCCAGGGACCCCATAATCAAGATTACTATCATAATTCCTATTTCCCCACCTTTATCTTTGTTTTCCCATCCACTCCAATCCATTCTCCCCCTTCTGATTATTAGTTAACGCCCGGATATGCATACCCCATCGACTCAACCCAGCGCCCGCAAAACGCTCTGACTTCTCTTCGCAATACCACCCCCAGAATCAAACCCCAAACCCATCCATCCCCAAAAGTCTTCACCATTGCTTCTGCAGCCCGTGCACCGGTATCATCCCCCCGATGGCCTCACGGTCCAGCTCCGGGCTGGAAGTCGCGATCTTGGCGATCAAATTAGGTTATTTGTGACGCCCACACTCTTCCACGGACCCACGAACGCACGCACGAAGGCCTAGTAGGGGTGGGCGTGCTGGTGCTGGTTTGGAGCGGTATCTTGGAGGGCTGCGCTTGCGCTAAGACGGTGAGCAGGAGGTGGAAGAAGATGGGAGGAAACCTGGTATTGAATAGTGGACTTTACTTTGGCGGGGGGTAGTCGTGATAGTGAGGGGCGCCAGTTTATTATAATATAGATTATTGGAAACCTCAATTGATCCTGTTACCATAACTTTCCTATCAATCCCAATCCCTCCTTCCCTCCCCCCATGATACCATACCAAAAAAATATCATATCACAGCAAAAACCCATCCTGCCATCATTTTAAATCCCAAAATCTCCCCGTACCACTCAATCAAACCCAACCACCAGACCCACCCCCAACCCTCTCCAAGTCCATCCATCCATCCACCCCCCACCGCCCACCCGACCAAGCACCATTCCATTCCATTCCATTCCCTTCCACTGCAAGAACATGTACTATAAGAACCCCCATCACAGAGCCCTCCCCCAGAACCGCCGAGAGCGAAATGCGAAATGCCATACCAGTATCGATAGTTACAGCTGCCAGAACCATCGACATGTTCCACGTTCCGCTTCCGGGTTATGAATAAATCTCGGTGGACGGAAAGACATTACCAGTGATGGTAGAAAACTGTTATATATTGCGCTGTTTGATTTTCCCGCCCAAGGCCGAGTATCATATCATATCATATCATATCGTACCAGACCAGACCAGACCAGACCACGTCTTGTCGGGGGGGCTGACCCGCCCGCCGTCCGGACAATAGTCTAGCGCATAATCACATTTGTCGGGGTTTGTATAGTAGCGTGAGAATAATACCATAGGTGGAATTGGGAGGCTCTTGAAATTTGTGTGATAGGATGGGTTGATTGAGTACCTTCGTGAAGGGGTGTTCTTCCGAATTGAAGGCCGGTATTACGACGTTATACTCGTACCCTCCCGCAATTCCCGCAAGAGGAACCCCTCGCACGCACCCTGATTACTCAAGTGAAATATCATACTCGAGAACCACAAAGAGAGGATGTTACACAAAAACCGAGTACCACGTTATGAACTGACTGGCTGACTGGCTGACTAATCCCTGCCAAGCCTCGCGCAAACACACGTCAACCCACCCATCCCTCCAACCTTCCCTCCGATCTGTCTTTTGCGGGATATCACAACTACCGTAGACTAAACACAACCTCGTCACTACAACCACCGGAACAAAAAAAAACACACATACACAAACACAAAACCCCACACACCTATCTACCTATCTCAAACATGCCAAAATGTACCCCCCCCCCTCATTCCCCCCCAAAACCGCGCTAGATAAGTTAACCCCCCAATAGTCTTCTGCGATTACTGCGACGTCTACCTAACCCACGACTCCATCTCCGTCCGAAAAGCACACAACAGCGGTCGCAACCACCTGCGCAATGTGGTGGACTACTACCAGCAGATCGGGCACGAGAAGGCGCAATCCGTCATCGACAGCATAACCTCCAGCTACGCAGCGGAGGGGCAGCCCATGCCATCGGTGCACTCGACAACCCCGGGTGCCGGAGGTGCTGGGAACGTTGGCGTCGGTGGGTTTCCTTTGTTGCCGCCTTCGGCTGCGGCTGCGGCTGCGGCAGCTGCTGTGGCGGGTCTGCCGCTGTCGCTGCCGCCTCCGCCGTTCGGGTTCCCCGCTAGGCCCGGTATGATTCCGCCGCCGCCACCACCGTTTGGGTTCCCGCCGCCGCCGTTGGGGAGGGGTGCTACGGCCTTTCCCGGCTTTCCCGGGATGGAGGCGGCGGGGGGAGCCGGGGGAGGGGGGGCTCAGCCACCGTTATTGCCTGGGATGGTGGTCCCGCCGGGGTTTGCGCCGCCGCCTGGTGGAATGATGGTTCCGCCGCCGGGTGCTGCTGGGTTTCCTATTCCCCCACCGCCAGGGGGGTTTCCGGCTGGGGCACCGCCTCTGGGTGGGCCGCCGGGGTATGGGCCACCTGGATCAAAGTAGTTGGATGGGTGGATGGATGGGAGGGGAGGGGATTTCTTTGAAAAGTTGATTGCATTTGTATTCTATGATGGGCCATAAATGAAGGTCTCGATTAATTTCTGTCCAATGATACACTGAACAAGCAAAGAAGAAAGCATGAACGAACCAAGAGCCAAGAGTGGAGTACTATACACCAAAGAACCAAGCAATTAACTAGTATCATTAAAACCCCCATCCACACCCGGCCAGCCCAACCAACCAACCAACCAAACAAACACAAAAGCCAGAGCATACACCGACAAAACTATACACGAGAATAAATGAAATGAGAAGAGAGGGAAGAAATACGAAGCCTAGAAAGTAACCAGAGAACCGTCGCCAATTAGCACATATGACAAGTGAAATGCATGGACAAGAATGAAGGGACAAGGTGATGCATGCACGAGAAACGGAAGAGATTCAACCAGCTGCGGCATCGGAGCTTATCGCGCTCCCCTCCCCCGGCCTACAAAGCATGAACTCCAAGGAATAAAATTTTGTAATGTGAAACGAATACCATAGGAATGGAAAAAGAGAGGAAAGAGAAAAGAATCCGCCACAGCTCACGAAAAAAAAAGTTGCTTTTCTCTCTTCATGTGGATTAAAAAGCTACTTTATTCGAGCAAACTTCACACGCGCACGCACACATACACACACATACCGGCACCGAGCAAGTCCGAAAGTTCTATTTGCCCACGAAAGTTTTTTTATATTTTTAGCTGATTGTGGTTTTCGTCTTTTGCTTTCGTTTTGTTGTTCTTGATCAACTTATTATTACCTCCCCAGACCCGTCATTCCCTGGAGCCGGTTTGCCAATTGGGGGTATTTCTCCTGCACCTGTTTGGTCGTTAATATGGAAAATTCAATAAAAGAGAAGGGATACCGGGAATCCTGTTACCTCTAGCTGTGTTCTTGTAGCCTCGGCATAGGAAAGAGCATTGATAATTTCTCCTTCGGTACGGGAGAGTGTGGCGGCTTTCTCAAAGTACTTGAGTGCCTCGGTCACCTTTCCTTGCTGTAACAGCAATTGTGCCATTGTAGCCACGGCGATATCACAGTCGGGATCAACTACCCTATTTGTCAGTTATAAATCCACAATGGCCTGTCAGAAGATAAACATACTGATCAGAGCCCTCTCGCACAACTTCTCTGCCTCCGTAAAGTCCTGCTTCCACTGGAAGAGAGCTAGAGCCTTGTTTATCAACGGTAGTACATTCATAGCCATGGGCTTGGCGGTCCTTTCCATCTCCACAGCAGTATCAAACTTTTCAATGGCCTCTAGATACTTTTGCTGGTCAAGCAGTAGTTCGCCATAGTAGTTGTAGACATCAGGAGTAGTCTCGAAATTCTTGATGCACTTTCGGAAGGTGGCCATCGACGAAGCAATGGAGCCCATCTTGTATTGGGTCACACCGAGCTGGATATGCGAGAAGATGAAGGAACGGTCGAGATCAATGGACTTTTGGTAGTCTTTTGCCGCCTCGGCAAACTCGGACAGGATAAAGTGAAGCTGAGCACGATGGTAATAGATGTCCGGATCGTCAGCATTGTGTTCAAGGGCTGTTGCAAAATCGGCCGCTGCCGCCTCACGATCGCCTGAAAAGCATTCCGTTAGTAAAATGCGAATAACTCACGCAGTATGTAGGGAAGTAGTACCAAGTTCTAATAGCATACTGGCGCGCTTGATGTAACTTTGGGTCATGGTGGGGTCTAGCTCAATACTACTGTTCAAATCCTTCAAAGCCTCCACCGCATCACCTTGCAAGTACTTGAAAGTTCCTCGCCAGTTCAATGCATACGCTTCATGGTTCGTTTCCAACTCCACGGCGGTTTCAAACTCTCGCCCCGCCTCCTCGTATCCCTCAACTGTCTTTCTCTCGACAGCATCCAGCCCAAGTCTGAGGTGGTAGTCGCCAGTGCCCTCCGGAAGATTAGCGTCCTCCTCAAGGCCCGGTGGCGGGGGCCTGCTTCTGAAACTCTGTAGGTAATTGGACACAAATGTGGAAGAAGGCAATTTCTTTGGCCTCTCCGCAAGCATCTGCTTTCCCTTCTCCTCGGCAACCTTCTTCAACAACCTCTCCACACTCTGAGCGGCACCCTCATTTCTGAATCCATCAATAATACAGCTTGCAGTAAAGTCCAATAAAGCTTCACTGTTCTTTCCCAATTGCTCGTAAGCATGTGCCCGACGATTCAAGGCCTTAACATATTCGGGGTCCAAAGCAATAGCCGCAGTGGTGTCTTCAACAACCTTCTCCCACTCCGAAAGGGCATTGAAGCAAGCAGAGCGGTTCGAGTAGAATATTGGATCTGGCCTGCAGAGAATCGCCTTTGTGTACAAGTCAATGGCCAGCGGGAAATCCTTGCTGCCATACGCCCTGTTACCGGCAGCCTTGAGTTTTCCAGCATAGTCCTTCCGTTGCTACAAAACAAATATCATCAGCCCCCGAAACATTATACCGTAGCGGGAGCCAAGAGAAGCAATTAAAAAAAAAATGTAGTAAATACCTCGAGAGTTAACCGCTCTACAATTTCCTCATTAACTTCGGGGAGAGGTTCCTCGGGCTTCTGCGATTTGACATCTAAAACCGCACAAAAGAAAAATTCATTAGCACAACTTACGTCATAATCAACCATTCCCAAATGCTCAAATCGGAAAATCAGGTAAAAAAAAAAACCGGAAGAGCTCAGGTTCTAGTCCCCCTTCCTTTTTTTCTAAAAAAACAACCTATGGCGGTGATTGAGGATAAAACAAGAAGAAATGATCCCCAATAAACTATGAAAGAAGTCCTATGCATACCCTCGGCCGCCTTCTTATCCTTATCTGTGCCCTTCCCTTTCTCCGTCCGCCGCTCCTTCTTTCTCCCCTTCCCCCCAGCTTGGCTCGAGTGAGCGAAGTAGTATATCCCTCCGGCGCTCGCGACTATTACCACGGCACCGATGGTGTACGCCACAGCCTTATTCTCGGAAAAATATGTAGACAGGCGAGCCCACAGGGAAGCCGACTCCGATGAGTGGAAGCCGACAGCGTGGGATGATGGGAGCGGTGGAATCGGTTCCGAAGGCATGACTTAAGCAGTGTTACGGTTGTGAGCCGATAAGAAACGATTGAAGTGGTGATTATACGAAGGGGGTGCGGAGTTGAAGGCGGGTGTTCGATGGTGCTGGGGCGAATTGATGGAGGTGGATGGGATCGTTGAAATTAATAGGTCCAGTCGTAGCGGGGTAGGAAGTGGGGCGTGTGTTGAGGTAGGAAGTTGGGTGCTCGTGTGCGTGTGGGCGTTTGGTGATTGTTGTGGTTTGCTAGCGGTAGGTTAATGGATGATGAATGCGGTGGTGAAGAAGAGGGGGGATAGGGTGGTGGTAGTGCGGATAGTGTAGAAGTTGAAGGTCCCGTGGGGTTCGACTGCTCGAGTACCCGAGTAGTGAGGGTTGAAGAGGGGGTCTTTCTCCCGTTTACGGATAGTTGACGAGATGGCGGCCTTAGAGAAAACGGGTGGATGGATGGGTGGATGGATAGTGGTGAGTTTTTTCGTTTTGTCTTTGCTATCCTGGAGGGGGAGGAATTGGTTTGGAACAAAAAGGTAGCCGGAGAAACAGTAAAAGGCGTGTCTGTATACTGTATACGTGCGTGTGGGAGGGGGAGAGAGAGTACCTTCACAGAGTAGCAAGAAGGGGGAGAGGAAGAGGAAGCAGGGGATAGAGGAGGGAAAGAAAGGTCTCTCTTTCTTTAAGATACTCGAGCAGAGTGTATGTGAAGACCTACGATATGATATGATACTACCCTATGATGCGTTCACTTTTATTTTATCATAGTTTCCATCTTTACTTTTTTCCCCTTCCTCTTCCAATCTTGCTTATCTTTGCCCTGTACCGGTAGCCTCTGGATAGTTCACCTGGATGCATGATGCCCAAGTGCACCAGCGTAACGAGTGCGGGTAGGAGTACCGGATTGAACCCGCAGTGGAGTAAATTTCCTCCAACCAGGCTGAGTCCTCTCTTCCTTCCTTCCCTCTCCCTTCGTCTCCTAACTCTTTAACCTTCACACACACCACCATCCACAGGAAATCACCGCCCCCACACGACACTACCCCCCCTCCTCCTCCCCCTCTCGATACCATCTCGGCTCCGAGAAAAGACAACTTTCCCTCTCTCTCTCCTATTACCCGTCCCCCTCATCTTCCTCGCCCTCATCTCTTGTACCATAGATTCAATTAACACCTCCCCTTCCTTCCCTCTCCTCCTGCAAGGCTCCCTCAATCCATTCCTACCGTGCTCCTGCTACCAAGGTATTATCGCGTGTTTGATGCATGTACGATTAGCCAAGCAATCGCAAACCCCCCCTCTCCCCGCATTTTCCCATCGGCCACCGCCCATTTTAGTAGCACAAATGCACAAATTCTCACACGTGAGCTTTTTGGTCATTCCGCCATTCTGAAGAGATAAAAGATGTGAGGGAGGAGGAGATGTGGCTATAAATACGGAATAATGACGGGCAGGGGCCAAGGGGGGGTGTGTGTGGCGATCGATATACTCGAGCAATACCCCCGCGTCGGTGGTGCAGGCTAAGTTACTCCACCGGTGTCGTACCGGTACCGGTATTCGAGATGTCAACTGAGCTTGAAAAAGAGCTTAAAGATGTAACTTACTGTGCTGTAGATCGGAAATTGGTGTGTATATACAGAACAGTACACGTACCGACCGAAAAGCTTACCACCGCACCACAATAGACCCTCTCCTGCAACAGGAGAATACTAAGCGCCATCCATCCTCATCCATCTACCCATCGTGCTCGCTACCGCACCGTAGATCTGGATCTACAGCACCTGTCTCACCTCAACCCATCACTGCTCAAATACCACCCCTCCTCCGCCCAAGGAAAAAGAAAACCGTCCCCCACCCTTCAGCCTCCCAATCTCACTCTCAACACCACCCCCAAGCCCGCCAACATCCACCCACCCTTCGATCCTATTCCTCCTCACGACCTCTAACCTCCTCTCCCGCTGCTCGGTCCACGCTTCCTGCAAACCCATCTCCAGTGGAAACGGCCTCACAGGAGCTCTCGCGAGGATGATCCTAATGCCAACAAATGCGGTCCATATTTGTGGGAGGTAGGTTTTGTATATCGGGGCCTCTCCATCCGGAGAAGATCTTGTCGTGCCGTTGTTCGTCGCGATGATAGGAACCTGCAAAAATGTTTTTTGTAAAGACCGAAGCGACCGAATTATGGTAGTGTATATCTCCGTATTACCGTCCGTGGGCCCCTCCCGCAACCCCTCCCAAACGAACCCCTCAACCCCATCGACAAAAATTCCTGCCAACTCCCTCCCGCCACTCCCATTCCCTTTCCAATCCAACAGATACCCCTCCAGCCCCCCAACCGTAGCAATAAACTCCCCAGCAGTATCAGGACGGAAAACGTGTACGTGCTCTAGAGCCTCCCCCACCACCTGTTCCAATTCCGCATCGCCGGCGTGACGAAGCTTGGCGAATTCGAAAACCACATTGTGAAGCCGGACGACGTCAAAGCGGCCGGAGCAGTCGAGGAGCACTGCACAGGCCCCCTTTCCACCAAGGGAGGCAGGGAGGGTCGCTAGGCCGACGAGGAGGTACAGAAGGGCAGTTTTACCGGTGCAAGGACCCAACCCGAGGAGTTCGAGAACGCGCCGCCGGGTACGAACCTTGTAGGCTGCCGCAAGGAGGGCATCTATTTCCGGGAGGTTAAGGGTGAATTCTTGCTGTGCCGTTGTCGATAGCAGCTGAATTGGAGGTTAGCGCTAGGTGAGTTTGTGGTGCCGGTGTTAAAAATCAAAGGTGAATGACGTGCAGTGTTAAGGTCAGTCCAGACAATCTCATCCAGTATCCTACCACTACTACTACCACCACCGCCGTAGGACATGTTGCATCTAGAGAAGATCCGGCCGGGGGAGTTGGAAGAGAGGGTCCGCAGGGAAGAGGGGATTGACTTGAAGGGATGCGTGTTGAAGGAGATGGTTCAGTGGGATTGTAGGGTTGTCGGGGAGGAGATTAAGTGTTTTGCGGTGGAGAGGTTGTTCCGGAGGTATGTACGAGTTTGATCTTTTGCTTAAGCCGAGGAAGGGGGAGGAGGGGAGGCGAGAGTCTTGTGCTCGAGTACAGTGCTAATTGGAAGGAGTGGCAGATGTGCCAAAGGGAGGACAATTGAAGTTACTGGGTTGGAGAAGATCGGAGAGGAGGGGAGGTAGACCGGTATTATATTATATACATAGTTATGGGTATTATGGGGGCCCCTTCAACAAGGTTCCAGGGGGGGAATCATTTTTCCTTGGTCATAGCTGCAGTACCGGTATGGCACAAGGGCATGTATATAGATACAGGATGGATACCCATCGCGAGAGTTATAAACACACCTACTTGGTCGTAAAAATGCCTGGGTTATCCATGTGCCCTACAGTATATGATAGCTTGGCACGCATCACAAGTGACTGGAGAGAATATGGGTGTTGAAATGAGAACATGTAGAGTTTGTGACATCCATTGAAAAGGTAAACAGGGAAAAACTAGGCTCCAATACGAGCTGGCTAACTAAGAATAAAAACCGTTATATCCCATTTCATGACCATATTACATAGAAATGCAGGTTTTTTTACAACATAAGTAGTAATGATAGAGAGAAATAGAGGGAATCTATGCCGCCGTAGCTTCACCAGCCACCGGTCTCCTCCTAACATTTGCTCGACCTTTCCTCCAGTACCTGCTCTCAGCATTGACAATAACCTCCAGGTACGCCGCATCTCCTTCCTTATCCCCTCCCGCTCCCTCGCCTCCACCTCCTGCAGACCCAGCTCCGACACCAGTGACCGGGTGGTCAGATACTCCAGCTAATGCATCCGCGTTAGCAAATACCCCAAAGGAATCAGTCGGCTCGGTCTTAATTTTGATCGCACCAGTCCCGTTAACCTTGGCTCCCGCACTCCCCCCACCACTCTGCTCATGACCCGACTCATCAAAGGCCTCCCTCCAGGCTTCATCACGATCCCTCCTCTTCGTACTAACCGCCACATCGCCTCTAATGCGCGCATTATTCTTAGCGTGAGCACTAACGGCCAACAATTTCCTGAGTGCGTTCTCCGCAAGCCTTGCCTCCTCCGTTGCGCGCTCCCTTATAACACGTGGCTCCGTCGGCCGCTCCGTGAATAGCGGTGTAGCCTTGTATGTATGCTTGCTGGGCAATGGGGGAAAGAAGTCCTCCAACGCACTCCGCTTCTGAAGTTCTGTGTCTGCCAATTCTGGTCCTAACAGGGCGGTTAGGTCCGGTGTGGGCGGGGACGGCGGGGTGATTGGAGGGAGAACGAATGCATGTGTCTTGGATGGCATGCGGAGCATTTCAGATTCTAGAGATGAGACGGTGATACCCATGTGCTGCAACATATCTTCAAAGTCGACAACTGTGGGCTTCGTGCGGCGTTGAGATGTAGCGAGGAGGGTTATCACGTGCAACATTCGGAGGTAGTCTATACATCCAGTGTTAGGCAAATAATGCAGTAGTGGCAGAGCAGAAGGAGACACACGATCCTCCGCAAGCTGTCTTAATCTTTCCTGCGCGACTGCTGTCGCACCGTTATACCCGACAGACTTGAGTATCATGGCTGTGCTCCGATTCAATAAGTCTGAAGCCATCTCCTCGGACACGACTGGGGTGGCATCTTCATATTCCGGGGGTGGAGGGACGATGCCTCTCCGCTGACGCTTCGAGGGGCGGTGATCCTCCATGCCGCCCATGTCAAGCTGCGGCAGGAGCGCGCCAGCCATTCAATCGTCTCGTAATCGTCTCACGCCCGTGCCCGGTATATCGTCGAAGATGCAAATATCCCCCTTACCCTTCGAACTCCGTCGCTCAAAAAGGGTCGAAGGGTGTTTCGTTTTATTCTTTGAAACGGGGGTAGATATGTTTTGTAGCAGCAAAAGAAAAGCGCTAGATGTTGGAGGTTGTGAGCAAGGTGCGATGGGTGTGTGGGTTGGTTTGACTAGAGAGTTCAGGCTCGATTTTTTTTTTTTTACCCTCTCTTACACTACGACTAGGCGAATGGAATGGGGGAGAAGAACCCATAGCCTCACCGTGACATATGTCACAATCACGTGACAGTGCCAAGCCCATCATCGGTCTTGGTCCCACCTTATTTGTGCGTGTAATTTATCGCTCCATTCCGTTCCTCGCCTCATTTCACTTCTCTCTACATATTGCCCTGATTCCCCACCTTTCTTAAAAAAAACTACAATCTACTGAGTAGTGTGCGTTTGCCACTAAGGTTTCCTTAAGGAACGATACTTTTTCTGACACAATAGTTTCGCAGGAACCACTATACGAACAACAGGTCAACAAACGATGGCCATCGCTCCGATCGTTGGGAAACTTCGCAAAGGTCTTATTCTTGACCTTTCGGTTGCGCTGGGCTTGGGAACTGGTACGCACTCTTCTCCCCCATCGAAACTGCTCGGCACAGTACGGTAGGGCTAACTCTTGTGTTGGTGGTGCAGCGGCAGGGTGCCTCTTCTGGTATGGTATGTTGTCGAGTTTGCCCCACTATGCTTCGAGGGGTATATACCGATTTTCCGTTCACAGGCTATCACACCCCATCCATCCGCCACCGTGATGCGTGCGTGCCCCCATGCTGGAAACAGGGAAGATTAGTACTTACGGGCGGGCGAACAGATACTACGCCAAGCTAGAGCAAGAGCGGATCAAAAACTCTCAGTGATAAGGGGTCAGGCATGGTGTTGTGCCCGTGGATGAATGCTAGCTTGTGTAGACGGGCTCTGGGACGGAATGGGATTCGTAGAAATGAAGCTGAGGGTTTAGGCCTTGCATGGTTGGGAATTGAACGTGAATATGGTATCGGATTTATTCGCCAATTGGGCTCGTGAAACGGTGAATTATGATATCGGTGTGCTCTCCTTTGATAAGACTGTGCGAAGAAAAATACCAAGGGACAGACAAGACGGTATCATAAGTACACTATCAAAGGCTCAAACTGCCCCACCCAGCCGCTCCAATTCCCCAATTCCCGCCGCTACTCGTACCGGCACCCGGACCGCACCGCAAGCGGCGGATGACCCGTTCGGCGTCAACACGTCAATGCGTAACCACGGTACAGTACAGTACTCGAGTAGAGTACCGGTACCGCACCTCCCCCTCCGAACGTCAACGCCATTCCAAAGTCCACAGAAGCGCAAAGCATAGCGCATTAATGCCCCTCTCACTAATCCAATCCACCCCCAAAGAAGGAAAAGAACAGGAAGGAAAAGAGAAAGGAAGAAAAAAAACACCAAGCTAGGATAACCCATCAAGTGTCATAACTCATCGGCCGTCATCATCATCATAATCACAGTCACAATCCAACCCAAGCCTGGAAACCATTCCCAACGTCAACTTCAACCGTTCGGTCGGTCAAGATACTTCTGAAACCTCGCCATCGAATATTTGTCATACCTGATAGGTTAGGAGAGGAGAGGATGCCCTCAGTTGGTACCTCAGCCACCAATAACAAAGTGGGTACTGTACCGTACCGGTATTACAAGCTCCTTGCTACGGACCCAGCCGCTCACGGAGATGCTGTCATTCGGTCGCATGTGTGGTATAATACTACTACTATGTTTGTTGGGAGATGATAATGAGGATGGGTGGGAGGTGGTTCTCTTCCTTCCTTCCTTCTCATTCTTTCTACTCGTTGGGTACTGTATCTAGCGTTTCTACGGTACAGTAGTATTGTACTGGTACATCCCTCTTCAAGAAACTCATCCTTCTTACAGGCAAGTTGCTCACAAGGCAGGCGGTTCTTTCCGGTATGGTACTATGCAAAGGCAAGGCTTTCAACGAAAACCATTCGGTGAGTGTCTTGCATATATTGGAGTTTCGAGTTGTTCCTCCTAATTATGGGGTTTGTAGAGGTATGATATGTTTGTGGGGGTTTAAGGGGTTCGGTTCTCTTTTCCTTTCCCTTTTTTTTTGTCTCCGCTTTATCATCTTCCCTTGGTTGGTGGGGGGGGGGGGGGGTCGGT